AGATGGACGGAAGCACGACGGATGGACGGGCGAACTGACGGACTCACGAACGAATGTACACACGGACGGACAAACGCTTCGCCCCACTCCTCATCATTCACTCCGTGGATATGCTGTAAAAACCACTAACGCCATCTAGTTATATTATTTCCAAGTACATATACACACAACGCCATGTATTGAGCAACTCATAAACTAGAGGTGGCTACATGCTACTACTACAATTACAAAGGAGGTAGTGACCCATGGCGTAAGGAGCTTCGCCATAAAAAGACTTACAAGTGACGTTCATTTTTAGCATCATCTAAGCTTTAACACATGGTGACGAACTTCTCAAGGAAAGGTGTGCATAGACAGTTGCAGACAAACAGAACATACAAGATCCTCTTGCAGAACTGTGATGCATGCGCCATTCGTGTGCTCAAGGTGGTTGCGCTAAAGGTTTCCGTTGTAATTATCAGTGCTTTTTCACGGCATATCTAAATACTAGAAACACTAATACTTTCGATGTCGGAATTTTAGTCTACAAGTGGCAGAAACTTGGAAGTTTTTCGACCTTGACCAGCCACACGAAACACGTGTCGGTGTAGCAAAATGACATCTGAAATTAGAGCAGGGGCACTTGCCCCTACCCCAGCTGCACATGCCCCCAACTTTCCCAGCCACGATACAAGACGGGTTTGCACAGCAGTGGTTTTGCACGGTGCTCTGTGATGATTGGTGACAGTGGTGATTTGCGTGTATAAGAGAGCGTTGCTGTGGCTTAGTATAGTGCTCTTGCGCATTCTCTGTACAGACACAGCGGTAGGAGGCCATATTTGTCATATTTAAACGTAAAAATGTCAGTTGTTAGTAGCCACCTCTGTGCCACTGTCTCTGCTGCTGCCACTCAGTGTTCCTTCTCTCTCTCTCTTTCTGTCTATTTTCGACATTTTAGAGGCTTTCTTTGAGTTTAAGCATGAAACAACTTGCCCAACAAGCAGCACTTTAGTGCTTCCCCCTCCCCCCAAATATATTATTCTACCAATAGCCATGGCTGAAGGTGCACGACGCCACGAAAATGAACAGATGCTATAGGATAGGGCATCTAAGCCAGTTTTTGCTGGGTGGGACAGAGACGGCAGTGGGCGGACATTCCAATTATTTTTTGGTTGTAACCGACTGTCGTTTTCGACAGCAGAATAATTTTTTGAAAAAAGTAATGCATACGATGGTGACCTATTCCAGCCTTTGATGGACTTATAGAAGGAGGAATCGAGTGAAAATGTTTTGATATGTTATCACTGCTGTATACTTATACTTGGTTCTCTATTATTTATGTACATTGTGCACGTCGCATTATGTTTTGTAGTATAGCATTCTTGTGTTATGCCTAATTCTACCGCTGGCACTATGTTATCTCCGATATTTCTATACCCTTGCTTCTGCGACACTTTGTTGTATACTACACTAGCGTCAATATTCTGTGCAGTTGAATGCGCGCTTGATTTTCGAGGCCCAGACAGGTGACGTTTCTTCTGAAGTCACCTTCTGCGGAAAACACCATGATGATTCTGTGTTGTTGCACAAATAAATTCGTACTAAGATAATAAGTGTCATTGTCGCAAACACATGTGCGGGTAGCTTGTATAGAAGATTTCTGTCTTAGGCAAGGTGTGGCAAGAAGAATGTTAAGTTCAAAGGAGTGAAGCGAATGCAGATATTTTCGCCCAGCCATCTCCTTCCGTTATTGTGGAACGGCTTTTCAAAAATGTGTAGGCATGTTTTCATCAGGGCTACTTATGCTTTGTTTCACTGTATCTGGCAGCCTAATACATTGACATAAGGGTGGAGGCACTGCAATGAACATTTGCCCCCTGCGCCAATTGTTGAAGGAGAGAGAGAGAGAGCTCTTTATTGAAGAGTAGAGAATTTAGCCGGCGTGTGTGTATAGGTGAATTGCCACTCTGCGTGGGGAAAGAAGTTGGGGACTGAAAGACAAGAAGAGAGAGAGAAAAATTATTACAAGTCAAAATAGAAAGAAATTGTAAATATACAGACTTCTTTTTTGTCTCTTGGACAGGCACGTGGGCTGACAGCATGATTACGAGTTTTCAAGGTGCCCCTACAGTTTATCTAGCGGACCCTTAGCATGCCTATGGACAAAGGTGTGAGTAGCGTTCTTCATTAGAGAGTGAGGGGGTGGCAAATTTTTTTCGTGCACCGCGCCCTCTCCCTGAATGTTTACAACAGGAACCAAGCTTCGTGATGTATGCGGAAATAAAATTGAAGCAATAGCCCACTGATCACAGCAGCCTGCTTTGGTCCTTTGCTTTCCGAGGGCGAAATTAGAAGTAAGCTGTTTTTTAGAATGCGACATCAAAGTTTCTTGGTATAACTTTGGAATGAAAAATTACCGAAAAATTATTGCCTCAGACATCAACGCCCGCCATATTCGCAATGTCCATGCACTGTCCCGCCGCCACGCGGAATTCCGGAGCGTGCTCTCGAACATGTAAGCAGATGCTCCCTTGTTTTCCTGTGCTAGCCTTAGTGCTAACGCGTCAGCAACAAACAAAAGCTAACCACTTCGCATGTTTCACGCATGAGCGAATAAATCGTACCACCTGTGACACGGTAAATCTGATTCGTTCTTGCGAGACGCGAAGGTTAAGTGAAAATCTGTGGCAACTAGTGCTTTTGACTGTAGGCCGCAGACATCCGTGGTTATTCACGCGCCTCTTCTCTTTTCCCCCTCCTCCAACCTCTCCGAGGCCAGCGCCGCGTCGGTGTTGACCAGATGCCGTCATGTAGGACCGACCGCTCGCAGTGTTCGTTTGTTTACAATCGCTCGCCACTGCCATCTTTTCCCTGAAGGCACGGACTACTTGGGGCGAAGAACATCCGTTTTGGCGGATATGAACTTGTTCTTCCGTGTGCGATGGGCTGTGAAATACTTTTCATCCAAGAATGTCATCACCGTTCGCGTCCGTGAGTGGTTGTTGGGCCTTCTGCTGCCAGAACAAGTTTAGTGATAGCCGAAAGATCTTTATGATACCACCCGTCAAGCGCAACGAATTGCGACGAAAGGCATGGTTACGTAGAATCGAAAATGAGAACTTCGGACTGACATTTTCGAGACCAATTTGCAAAGTAGGCTGCGCGTTTCTCATTATTACTACGGTTCGGTGTACGCTCAATCCAATGCCTGCTCTCACGCCGTATACAAGTAGCAGTTAAATGTGCAGGACATCGCGATCTCTCACTCAGGTTTCATTAACGGTTCTGCGGGAGCTCTTTTTTTCTCTCTCAACGATACATGATTACGTGTTCTGCTTGTCGTTATGCGCCGGCTGGTTTCAGTTCGCGGCTCTGGTTTGTGCGCTTAGAATGTACGCGGAGACGCTCGAAAATGTGATTACGGAACTTCAGAAATTCCGCGTTGCTGTTTTGAATAAACGAAATGAGAGTGCAGCAACTCACAGTGAGATTGGTACTCTCCGTTGGATTTCGTTGCGTGCTCGTATAGTTCAAAGCAAATTCCTCTCTGCGGCTCTTTTACGTGGGGGACCACTAGGGGGCGTCGAGATGAGCGGACGCCTACGCATCGGCTCCGCCTGCTATACTTTTTGCTGGTCTGCTGAGTTCAATCTTCTCTAATTTTTCACCAACGTTTTCACTAAGTTTAGGGGAACACCAGGTTACATACTTTGGCCCGGGCCACCCCACGTTTCTCCCTTTCCAACCAACGTTTCGCTTTTAGTCGCTAAGCCTCGAGTAGGCTCAACACGACTACGGACCCCTGCGCCGGCGCGTCCCACCCCGGCGCCGTCATCATGCCCGAAGCCATGGTGGGTAGAGAAACGATCAGTGAAGAGGAATCCAGCGCGCCTGGCTGGACCGACGCAATCCGACGTTGCGCAAAGTCTTCAACTATTACCACCGGTAAGCCAGCTGGCGCCCGCATTGGTGCCCTGTGAACAGGAGCTGTGACGAGGGTTGCAGCCGCCAGCCGACTCCCACCGCTCCCAACAGATCACCACTGAGTCATCGTCTGCCCCGGAGGTGGCCAGGATCTACGTAGGTGCAACAAGCTTAAGTTCTCGCAAGCTCTACTACTCGCTGCACGACTCCCGCCAACGGCGGCAGAGGAAGATATCGTTTGCACTAACGACCCACGGAATATATTTGTGATCATCACGCCGAACTTACAAATGGCCGAAGCGTACGCCAAAGTACGAGAAATTGTTCTCATGGAGCGAGAACATCCAGTATCCGCCTACGTAGCGGCATCTGGCACCACCAGCCGAGGCGTAGTCCGAGGGGTCGACGCTGACCTTCCAGACTCGGAGCTACAACGCCTGTTTATCTTATCAGATAACCCCACGTTAAAGGGGGTACGACGAATCAAAGATACAGCCACCATCATCCTTCTCTTCAATGGACTTAAAGTCCCCAACTATGGGCGCTGCGGCATGCTCCTACTGCGTTGCACGCTCTACAAGCGAGAGATCGACACCTGTCGCAACTGCGGCCGTGTCGGGCATCGACAAGGCGTCTGCCCTACCCCATCTGAGAAAGTCTGTGAACACTGCGGTATCAAACCCACCGGACCTGACCATGAGTGTGTGACACCCGAGCGCGCGTTGTGTGGCCAGGCCCACATTACGGGCGACGGCACATGCCCAAATTGCTATCAAATTCCTTACGTCGCTCGACGTCGACACCGCCACAGACGCCGGCGTAACAACAACCAACAGGCCCAAGGAGACTCGGCCACGCAACAGCCGATGCCCAAGCAACCATCCCCGACTCCGCCGACGAAGCACCTGCCTACCACCACCAAGAACCCGACTGCAACGCCCACTTGGGCCGATCGAGTCACCGGTAAAGGTTAGAGTCGCAGTTACGCGCAGTCGGGTAACTTGCCACAGCATGAAAATAATGAGATTCGTGAGCGCAAACGGGAGCTAGCGTTGCTGCGCAAAGAAAACGAAGAATTCGAAGCACTCATTAGAAACATGCAGCAGCCGAGTGAACGCGCTGTCGAGACGACGACGCCCGCCGCTCCGGCCGTTGAACCCGCTTTCACCAACTCGTCGAACGCTAATCGCCCTGCGAAGCGCCGCGCAGCCGAGGACCTTCCGGACGCGCCCGTTTCTATGTCTAATTTCATGGAGACACTTGCCCGCCTACGAGCAGACATTGCAGCAGACCGCGTTGCCGATATGACCCCACACACCCTTCAGCTCACCGAAGTTCACGTGCGGTTACAAATACTAGAAGAACAGCACGTGGTGGTTCGTGCGACAACCCCTATGCAGTAATCATGGCTACCACAAGCAATCTTGTATTTTGGCAGTGGAATTGCTTTAGCTTTCTCAAGCGGAAGGCAGCCTTGCAACAATTCCTTAAATCTAGTGCCAACCGGCCTGCCGTAATTCTATCACAAGAAACGCTGACCACCGAGCCCGTTTTGCGTACCTATCACACCGAAGCGGACCATCGAGCGGGAACGCGTGGGATAGCAACGCTCATCTCCAAAAAGTGCGCATATGTTCGCCATGAGATCCGCCCCGATCTCAAAGACGAACACATTATGTTAGAGTTATTTCCGAACTGAATGATTAAACAGTCAGTCTTTATTCTTAACCTATATAGTGCACCCAAAAAAAACAAACTACAGTTCAGGGCCTCTTTCAGCGAGCGAGCAAAATTGCAGGAGACCATATGGTAATAATCTCTGGAGACTTTAACGCCACGCATCCCGACTTTGGGTACCCTAGCTCTTACGGTAAGGGCAATGCCCTGGTAGCGCAAAATGTACACACATATACTCACGCTCTTAACCGATCCCATTTCCGCTACACGGGTAGGTAACTCGGTCACGCGTGATAGCAAACCAGACCTTACTATGGTTAGGTACGCGGGAGAACCCACGTGGACTAACCTGGGTGAGAATCTGGGAAGTGACCCTTACATTATACAGACGATCGTAAACGTATCTGCACACAAACTGCGGCAGTTTCGCATAACACTCTGGGATTCCTTTCGAGAGCTTAGGAAACGCGACGACACTCAGTACGAACACCTACCAGAACTCCTTGCACAAATAAAAAAGGACGTTGCAAATTTGACTAAAGACGTTGAAACCGAACTGGAGGTCGAGCGCATGGATAGCCGGCTAGCTCACTTACTCGAAGCTAAGAAATCACTACATGCAGATTGGCGCACGCAAAAGCTTAATCGCAACCTTCATAAAAAGATAGCTGAGCTTAACCGTCAAATCGAGGAACATAACCGTAACCTAGAGCGTCAGCAATGGAACGAAGTGTGTAACTCGGTTGATGGTAAAATGCGAAACAGGGCCAAATGAAACCAGTTGAAACACCTACTACGTGACAAACCGTCGAAAGCGTCTCAACAATTCACGATAGACAGACTAATACACATACTCAAAGTCTCGGGTAAGACCGACACTCAAATCACCGACGAGCTAACTACACGTTACCTATGTACAGTACCCAGCTCACCATCCGATTACCCGCCTGTCCCGGATGATACGGAGGAGGATCCCTCTGCATCTCTCTTCCCTTGCGCCGAGGTTCGGGTTGTCAACTTCGAACTCAACTGCCGCTCAGCCCCTGGCCCGGATGGCATAAAGAATAAGCTTCTCAAAAATTTTGCCGAGGAGGACATGAAAGTTCTCACCGGGCACATTAAAAGAATGTGGGAGACTGGCAACGTTCCGCCTAATTGGCGCGAGGCAACCGTCATACTTATCCCTAAGCCGGGTAAACCGTTAGCGCTAGGTTCACTTCGTCCCGTCTCGCTCACGTCCTGCGTGGGTAAGGTGGCCGAACACATAATACTCAATCGAGTCACAAAATTTGTTGAGGAGCGCCAGATTCTACCGATGAACCAAATTGGCTTTTATTCGCTCTCTCCACGCAGGATGTAATGCTGATGCTCAACAATGAGATTATGGATAAGATCACCAGAGACACTAGAGCCATTCTAGCGCTCGACCTCGAGAAGGCATTCGACCGCGTCAAGCACTCTCAAATCCTTGGCTCGATTCGCGAAGCAGGAATAGGTAGGCGTTTCTACAAATATGTTAGCTCATTCTTGCGCGACAGGACGGCTACAATTCAACTCGGCTTGATGGGCTCGAAGAAATTCAACCTGCGACCGAGGGGCACACCCCAAGAATCCATGATAGCTCCGTTCCTGTTCAACCTCTCCGTGCGCACTCTGTCGCAACAACTCTCACAGATCGACGGCATCAGTCACGCCCTCTACGCATACGACATCACCGTCTGGTGTACGAGCGGCAGTGAGGGCCATATTGAGGAGCGACTGCAAGAAGCAGTAAACATGATACAAATATTCTTACACCAGGCCGGTGTTTCGCTATCAGCAGAGAAATCAGAATTACTTCTATACTGCTCGAAATACAAGGTGCGCAGAGACGCATACGCGGGGATCAATCTCCTGACGGCGGATGGTACACACATCCCCACGGTGGGCCAAGTTCGCATACTAGGCATGGTCATTCAGGCCAGCGGCCATAATGACGTCAGTATTTCTCATATTTCCAAGGAGGCCGAAGCAATGGCTAAATTAATTAACAGAGTAGCTAACAGGCGTGGCGGACTATCTGAGGAGAATCTCCGCAGACTGTTCCACGCTTTCCTCATGAGCCACATCAACTATATGGCTCCCGCCCACCTGTGGCAAAAAGGAGACATACGCCGTCTCGACGTGATCATCCGCCGGTCCGTTAAACAGGGGCTCGGGTTACCTGGCAACACCCGTACGGTCAAGCTCAATGAGCTACGCATTCATAACACATTCAACGAAATCGTAGAAGCTCAAAAAGTATCTCAAATTGTAAGGCTGTCTTCCACTGCAGCTGGGCGACAGTTACTAGCCCACCTTGGGCTCAAATCTCCCATATCCCAAGAATGTCCGCCGCAGCTCCCCGAAGACCTGCGCGCAAAATTAACAGTATCCCCGATACCCCGTAACGTGAATTCCAAACATAACGTTGGAAGACGTCAGGCACGGGCGCAAGCCCTACTCAGTACCGCAGCCGCTATGAAAGATAACGTGGCCTTCCTAGATGCAGCGCAGTACGGCTCTACGGACCACTTTGTCTCGGTGGTTACAACACTTCAAGGCGAACACTTGTCGTCTATGGCTTTACTAAAGTCAAACGTTGATCGCGCCGAGCAAGTCGCTGTAGCACTAGCTCTCGCTTTCACCGATTGCACCGCCATTCACACGGATTCGCGCGCAGCCGCAAGGGCCTTCATGACCGGCTCAGTTTGACGGGAAGCCGCGCGCGTTCTCTCTGCTGCCAATTGGTCAGGCAAAAAACACATAACCTGGGGCCGAATTCACAAAACTTTCTTTTGGCTATGCATTTTCTTAGCCAAAAAATTCTCTTATCTGGAGGGATTACTATAGCGCGGGTACGAATTTAACTTATTCGGCACTTAAGAGGGTGAGGGGGACACACAATAGCCGATGAAACGACAAGGAAAGAAAGAAGTGTGTGCCGATAATATCAAGGTAGAACGCAAAGCGTCTAGCATCGAGAGTAAACGTTGATAGCCATGATTTGCTGCATCTAAGTTTAAGTTCCCCGAGCATCTGATACAGCGCTTACGGGATGCCGCGTACGTTGCAATAGACATCTTGGTGTGCTGTGCAAAGCCAAGCACTCGCCTTTCATCAACGACTGTAGCTAAAAAGAATTTGCTTGATGGCCTTAAGCCACCGAGCAATCCATGCACTATCTCGCCAAGTATAAGTAAACAACACTCCAGGTGCACCACATCAATGAAACCACGCATAAATAGATGCATGCAATCTTTGAAAATGTGCCTCAAATGTCTTCCCCTGTTTAACGCGACCAGTTACTTTACATTTTAATGAAGCTGCGCTGCTACTCAACTAATCCGGTGTAATCGACCACGGTATAGTGGTGAAAGTAAGGGTGTTTTGTACCTAGACGTAAAAGGTTGCCTTTCTTACAACATTCTTATTACAAGACACAGGAGCGACTTTTGTGCCTGCGGACAAATTTTGCAGAAATGGAGAACAGCAGTAATCAAATGAAGTTGTGAGTGGTATTTCACTGGTTTCATGCGCATCAGCATTTTTATAAAGCCGGAATGCAAGAACGTGCCTACGCTTACACTTAGATATGTGTTTAGGTAAAACGAGGGAGACTCGTCGGGAGGTGTTTCCGTGCTAATGCTTTTCACAAAACACGGTGCAAATATTTCGTCCAGCGTTGTTTGAGTGAGAAAACAAAGAAAAAGACGTGTATACGAGTCTTAAAGTCGAGAGACGTTATCACACGTGCAAAAAGGGCGGAGAAAAAGAGAAAGAGAGACTCGTTTCGTCTCCACGAAAGCTTGAAATCGATAGATAATAAAAACAATTTTCTGGCCCAGCAGACGTCAAGGAAAGTTTCCGCAAAGCAGTGTCAAATGCTTGGAGAGCATAAAAAAGTGGAGTACGCATTTTATGAGAACGACAGCCACACACACATAAAGCGAGATGAAGTGCGACTGTCTTTAGATGTGACAAAATCAATGCTAACTATGGGAGTTGAGAGTTAATGAGCCAAATCTTCCTTAAATAACAATAATGAAAACAAACTGAGTATTCATCTAGTGAAAGTGACACTAGTGACACTGAATTCATAATAGTAATACATACATACATACATACATACATACATACATACATACATACATACATACATACATACATACATACATACATACATACATACATACATACATACATACATACATACATACATACATACATACATACATACATACATACATACATGCATACATACATACATACACTGAGGTGTAAATATTAGGATGAATGGCTTTAAAACAACAATTCTAATACACTCATTTTGAATATGCAGGAAGGAACTTACAACAGAAAGCCATCAGCACTGTTATGTCTGAACTCGGTGTTACTCGAACCATCTCGGAAAAGCTTGATGCATCGTTTCTGCTGCTGCCCAATGACAAGCAGTTGTTTAAAGAAACACAAGAATAAAGCCTTCAAAAATGTCATGCTGAAGAAAAGGACTGTGCACCAATATTTCGTACATGTCAGCAATATTACTCTGTTTATTTACATAGCTTGGCTCATTCACAACACACTAACAAAGCATGTTAGGACACATGGCTGAAAAGCGGCACAGCGCAAAGAAATTCTAGACAATACATGAATAATACAATTCTAAGCTACTACGCTCCTTGGTGCAAACAGTGTTTATATTGACAACTATAGACCCTATTTCGTTCCCTGAAAACACTCCTCTAAAAGACTTCAAAGTCTGCACATCAACACATTCCTCATACAGCTGTCTGTTAGTCTGCTTGGAAAAAATTCAGTTCACTGGTGGGTAAAGGCTGTACACTAATTATGTGAGGTGATGCTCAAGTGCACAGCATGTAAGTCTTGCTACGTATGTGGCAAGACTTGCAGTGGCATATATACTATGCCACTGCAAAGTAATCATGTGTCATTTGCATGAAACAGGGACCACAATAAAAAACATAAGATTTACCTTCACACAGTTCAAAAAATGTCAATAAATTTTCATAGAGTTTTCACAGCGCATCTTAGGATAGTAATATTGGTTGTAAACACATTGTTACTTCCACTAATAAATTATTTTAAGATGCCAGCTTCAATATTAGAGTATACCAGTACCTTTGTAGGGCTAAACGATTGTACAGGCACCTAGAAAAAGATAAGTAAATGCACGCTATAACTACATATAAATAAAAAGAAATACTTTTATTTCTAGTCTGAGTAGAGCTGCATAGATGATAAGTCACTTGCATTACATTATGAACAAACCTATCCGTGCAAAGTATATATTTAAAAAGTTACACTTACACAGTAGATAAGTAGACTGTTGAAGGACGGACAGGCAGTGGGATAATACCCAAGCACTAAAATCTACTGTTAAGATATACCAGGAGTAGTGATGATCCTCTTTCTTCGAAATACAATAGTTCACATAGGTTCACTTCCCAGAGCTTATACACTCATGGCATTATTGGTGCTATACCAATGAGTGTAGACTGAAGGATTACATCGAATAAGTACAAGATTATCGCATCCAAGGCTTTACTTCTTGTACTACAAAGAATGCAAACACCGTTACCATTGTCGACCACGGATGCTAGGATTTATGACAGGTAAATGCAGAGACACGCAGGCACTTATCACGCATGTTAAAAACTTCAGCTCAAAAATATTTGTTTACTAACACTACAGCAGCCTTTAAATTAGTGTCATAGTTTGGTATCTTTCATGCAAAATTTAAATATTTTGGAGTGCAAGCAAAGAAGCTGCTGAATAATGCACTGCTAAGAAAATAAGCAGGAGCTGCACAGAATGTTACTACGTATACAATTCAAAGTGCTTCTGACATCACAATGTGCTCTTTCTGCTGACGTAAACTTTGAGCAGGAGAACAGTCTCTGGCAGTCCCTTTATACTTGTTGGTCTTCTGTGCTCTGTTCTTGATACACTGTACATGACCGTGGAGCACCGGATTCCTTGTTACTGCTGGAACTTAGAAAAATACAGATCATTGTTACAACCATGTTACATGCAAGAGTGTAGAGTTGTTAACTATGTGCTCATATTTACAGATGTTGTATTTTCATAAGCCAATGACAAGCCTCAACACACACACACAAACAGTGAAGACTGAAAATATATTTTATCACGATACAAGAGCAAAACTACATTGTTATAGATAAAGGCATGAAACTTCTGCCAGGCATAAAAAGCCAATAAAGCTTCTTCTATTTTGACTTTACACTAGGTGCGAGAAGCAGACCACAAATAAGTTCACTAAGAAACACAAGCTAGACTGCATTACAACACCACAGCCAATGTTTATAACTTTAAGGCTCTCTAACATAGCCAGCTCACCATACTGCGTATAGGAGCAAATGAGCAGTCTAGAAGACAGAAAGCAGTTGTGGATTATGAGTGTGCTTGTTGCTGACATCTATTATTCTAAAAGAAGAAAACCTTTCAAAAATGCACTTCATCAGGGGAAATTATCATACGCAACAAACACGATGGGCTCCTATAGGTGCCACCAACACTCACCATTATTGCTGATACCAGTCTCTTGCTGGATAGATATGCTGCGTCCTGCACAGAACACCAAAGGAGCGCTCCATGACTTGGCTTGTATGTGGGCTGGCTGCATCGCTCTGCTGCTGAAGTACGCTAGCCACAGACAGAGAGATGAGGAGCCATGGCTTTGAAACACACTGAACGTCACCTTTAGGGAT